AGGCAATAAAAATGAAAACAATGACATTCAAATTATATGAATTTAATATTCCAATCATGACTATCATAGAATTTCTGGGCAAAATTTATATTATGCAAATATGACACGAAAACCAAAGAAAACTAGATATTGTAACCAAAGCAATTCACAGTGACATACTCGGAATTAAAAACTAATTGACCTTAGATATTTTATTACTATGGGGCTAACGCAACAGCATGCAGATTCATATATTAATATTGTAATTTACCTTCACATACTACAGAACCCAGGAACTCACACACAGGTTTCCGAAACAGTGCAACGGACGTGATATTCTATATTAAAAACCTAACACAAGCAAATATAATGTAATACTTAACCTATTACATATACGAATTTATTTATCTAATTCATGGGAAACATTGTGGTTCTATTTTAAGATTGTTATAAAAATTGTGAAATCAAATAGAATACATAAATCCATATTTTATGATTGAAATTGTGTGATAAAACAACATGGTCAGAATAACATTGAGAAGAAGAGAAATATTTAATATAATAGCATAGCAAAAGTAAGTAAACTGAAGCCTGCACTAGACAGTCTCCTTAAAACAGATTCGTTGCCTCACCAGTTGGGTGCTAGATGTTGTTTAACGTCTGTCTCCCAGGATACGACGGTACGGTTAGACCAACTACAGCAATGCACTTATTGAGTAGTTTCGGTGAATAGAACTATGGCAGTACTCTCTCACTAGGAAGAATATAAAAGTAGCTTCGGCTAACAGAACTATGGCAGCACTCTCTCACCAGGAAGAATATAAAATTGGAGAAAAACTTTTAAAGACAGGAAGAGCAAATTTTCTGGTGGTGAAAACTGAAGGAGAGGGCCTCCTTTTATACACATGGAGGGAGAGAGGAAAAGACTTCGGCCATCAAAGCCCATCACAAATGTAGAAATGAACTTTGTATTAACTCGTAAAATTGATGGATTAATTCATCATCATTGTAGAGGAGTTACACACATTTTATACACATGTGTAATGTGTATAATTCTGCAGTCTACAACACTGGCTTGGGCCAAAAAGATTAAGATGGGTGGGCCAAGCCCAACCCCCACACTCAATCTAGTCCAACAAGCCTCAAGCCTAAGCCCAAGCCCCAAGATCCAAGATTCAAAATCCACGAACCCGGACCGGTTCGGGCGGCGCGTATGGCAATTTTTGCATAACCAACTTGGACCATAGTTTTGGCCCAAACCTATCCTTGAAGCATCCATAACTCTCTTCCTTCGAAAAATTTGGATGCCGCAAAGGGCTTACAACATTAGGCAAAAAATGAGATTTAAATACCCATCAATGCTCTCCTCTATAATCAATGTGGGACAGAAGGTTTCACCTTTCCCAACACCTCTTCATAAGGCCAGCTTAATGAGTCAATTTCTCAAGTTAATAGTTTTTTGTCATTCTTTTTGTGGTGTAAAGATCTCATTATAAAAAATCTAAACCCACTTTAACTCACATCAATAGAGGATTAAAACCCACTTTAATTTCACATTAAAGTCACCGAAAAATTATTATTTTCCAGCACATAGTAAATCCCAAATATCCAAAGTCAAGTTGCAAACCATGTGTCCATTAAGTCCATAAGTTTTAATCAATAAGTAATCCCATTATATATGAGATTTGCCAAATTGCAATAATAAAGTATTTTAATTCCAACATTGACCCAATGTTGGTATCTACTTAAGCCTTCTTTGTCAACTATATATTTTAATCAAAAAGTTATTATAAGTTATCATATCACTCTCTTTATTTTTCTGTACACTTTTTTTGTAAAAATTTAAAAAATTACTAAAATATGATGCTCTCAAACGAGACCTTAGTAATCATACAATTCTAATTCTTATTTTTATACCTTATGAATATGATATGAACCTCTTGAACCATATGATTCCATTAAACAATCATTGGAATAGCATATTTCCTGAAAACGTGTGAGACATATTTATATGATTGGTTAATTTTTTGGAAAGAAAAACCAAATTCCAATCAAGGACATTGGAAGCTATCAAAATATTATACTAATTAAAAATAGAATACATTAGGGGCACTTTTTTATAAATTCCTTTTCACCTACCTATGTTCTATTTAGTTCACATTATTTTTTTATGTTCCAATAAGTTTTATGAGTGACATAGTTACCAAAGTACCCATAATAATATTCACATTTACAGCGTAAATATTCTATGATGTGAATGTTCACATCGTCGATGTGAATGTTAACATGTCAATGTAAATATTCACATTGTAAAATATGAATGTTCGCATCACCAAATTGCTGACCGTTCAACAAAATATTTGTAATGATAGAAATATCCATAAAATTCCTTCACTATGAGAATTAGGATTTGGTATATCAAATGTCATTAAAATATAAGAATATCTTATGAATTAATTGGGATACAAACACTTAAAAAGTAATTTTTTAATAAATTTCTCAATACTTTATAATAAATGATGACCACATGTCTTGATGAGGTTAAGCCACTTTTTTCCCCCAATCATTTGGTTCAATACAAGCCTCTTCGGCTTGTTTTGTCCACACCTATCAAGGTTCTCTCATTATGCAGTTAATTTAATCAAGCAGCTGAGGGATTAATGAAATTTCACTAAATGATATTTACACACCACTATTATTTGCACTTCACTAAAAAAAAAAAAAAAAAACGAATCAAATTCATATCATAGATAAGATTTCACGTTCCTCAAATATGACATTGTGTAATGTAAAAATAGAGTTTGTACATATAAAATTGTTAGGAGTTCAATCTAAGCAATCCAAATCCAAATCCAAATATAAAAAAAATTAGAACAATGAAAATATAATTTTGAATTGAAAATTGTTAAAAAAATAGTTGTTGGTGTTGAAATATATATAAAATTATTTTGAAATGTGTAAAAGGTATATAAAAGTATTTTAAAATATGTAAAATATATATATATATATATATTGGGATTATAAATATTTTATCACTTTTGATTTCTTATTAACAACTCTTGAGACTATCATTAGCATTACTCTTTTAAATTTAATCAATTTCTAAAATAAAATTTGTCAACCCAAAATTTTGATCGGTATCTAGGCATAACTCTCACAATCCAAACAATTTGAATACTACTATTAATACATCAGAATAAATTACAAACAACCTCTGAAGTTTGCTTAAAATATAAATTGTTTCATGTAATTTTTAAAATTACACCCCTGCCCCCTAAGGTTTCTAATTTCATAATAAATAGCCCATTTTTATTAATAAATCATCAAATTAATTAACAGTTTTTAATGATGTTAAAAATATATTTCAATTAATAATTTAAGTAATTTTATTATTGTATAAGAGAGCAGTTAGAAATTTCATTTTCTCAGTTAATTCTGTTAAATAAAATTTTTTGACAATGGAGTATTTGTAATTTTCCAAACCACATGGGCAATCTGTATTTTAAACAAACCTCAAGGAGTGCATTTGTAATTTACCCTAATATATAATTATATATAATACTAGCTAATTATTTTTCCTTAGTTGAATTAAATTATGAGTTAATTACTTAAAAGTTCTATTTACAAATGTTATGGTAGTTCAGGTCCTATCTAAGATTTTTTGAACAAAAAAGTTCTATTTAGTAAAACTGATAATATTATCAATTTTTCCCAATTTTTAAAGAACATTATCAATTTTGCATGGTAATGTTCTACATAATTGTTTCACTAATTGATAGAAAAAAATAGAGCATGAGATTTAATATTTTTACTCTTCTACTTATTTGTTTGATTCAAACATCCAATAAAATCGAGAACATTATCAGTTTTAAGACTGAGAACATTATCAATTTTTTCATTTGTAAAGTTTTTTTTTTTTTTCAATTTTGCACATCAATGTTCTATAATCATACTCCTTTATAGACGCAAAATTTTCAGTTTTGCGCAAAAAAAATAATTCAAGTTTTTCAAAAAAAAAAATATTACGAGTCAGTTAAGACTAGAGATTAGTTTGGATCAAATTTAGACAAATCTCCGCATGAGCGAAATTGAATAACCAGACTTCAACCCAATCGAATTTATCCAAGTTTCAGCCTAAAAAACTGTTTGTCACATCATTAGATAAGTTGTTGGAGCAACAGTAGCCAGAGAATAAAGCATTTTATGTAATGGGTATATTATGTAAATAAGATAAAGTAGCGTATTCTTTTATTTATTAGTTAACATGTGATAAAAATAAAATTCAATAAATCTCTTTGTACTTGGCCCAAAATATTGAGTGTTCGGCCATATCAAATTTCGACCTCACTTTTTATCACATGTTAATTAATAAGTGGACCTGAAAAGCTGACAATGTTGAATTTGTTTTAGATTTAACCTACTCAAAAAAAAAGTTCAACTATCCATATATATATCGGCCACCATCTTAGCCAAATAGTAGTTAAAAATATATGTATAGTGAGTTCTAAAAATACCCCCGAACACACCCACAAAAATATGATACCACAAAGAACCAGAACCAAAAACAACATCTCGCTCGAGTGACCAACCACTCGCTCGAGCGAAGAACCAAAATTCTCGACAGCAACACTAGGTTTCTAAACCCAACCAACCTGAAACAAACCTGCCCAACACATCCTATAACTCCAAATAAGAAAATAAGGGACAACAACAGCAAATATACAATAACAGAATCTACGGAACCTAAGTCCGGATACAATAATCAAATGGGAAAAGACCGGGGTCGCTATACTGCACCTACTGTTTTGAGGTCATCCCACATGACCTTTTTTTCACTACTTAAGCTTCGCCGAAAAAAATAAAAATTAAAAATTAAAAAAATGTTACGTGTCATCATCCGTTGACGAATCTTCTGTCAGGCCTCGAGCCTCCAATGCTGCTTTCGCTCTCTCTGGAACCAAATCTTGGCTTGCACTCTAGGGAAGTCATGTACTTATAGGCAGCTACCACACACCGCCACCATGTCGTCTCCATCTCCGGTGGCTTTAGAGAGAGGGTTTGAGGCCCCCGACATGCCTTGTGGGTGCTGTGAACACAGCAGGGACTCTTCGGACTTGGTTGCATTGAACATCAGTCTATTGGGTGATTCCCAAATTGGGAAAACTAGTTTTCTGGCAAGTGCATTTTTTTTTTCCTTGGAAATGTTGTTTTATGCTTTCCTGGCAACCAAACATAGCATATTAAAATGTTGTTCTTGTTCGAATTTTTTTTTCTTTTTTGTTATTCATTTTTAGACAATGTATGTTGGGGGAGAGAGGCAAGAAGAAGGATTTGAGATATCAAATTCAAGACTAAATCAAATGGATAAAACACTCTACATTGGAGGGGAACATATCGCAGGTATGCATGGTTCCTTCTTTGCATAATAATTTACTGAATAATAAGTCTACAAGTATAAAACTATTCGTAAAAAATACAAATGGAACAATCTGAATAAAATTGTTTCTCTAATGACAAGCCTTACCATCTGATGTTGATTGATTCCGTCTCATCGCTAAACTTTTTATTTATTGAAATGGCAATATATGTGTATATATATCTACTGATCAATTATAATTTTGAATGGTGTACAAGGAGATGAAACATTCCAGAATCAGATTCCAAGTGCTTATAGAGACTCGGTAGCAATGTTATTCATGTTTGATCTAACAAACCGATGTACTCTAAACAAGCAATTTTTCAAAATGCCCAAGGTTTTCATAGATTATGATTATAAAATTGTAGTTATTATTTAGGTTTGAATAATAAAGTAAACTCATGAGTTTACTACTTAACTCTCTCTGGTTTGTAGTGTTGTCAGATGATATCAAGAATCAAGGAAATGGAATTAGGTACCCATGCTCTGCTTCACCACCTCATCTGATCCTTTTAGGGAAAATTTCAATTTAGTGTAAATTATAAAAAAACAAATGATAATAGTTACAAATAAGTGATAAGTTTTACAAATATTAATAATTAAAGTTATAATTTTTTTTTACAAATCTATAATAACTTTCTAAAAGTACCACTGAGTGGTAATTTCCCCATCTTTTTACCCAAATCTCTCTGTTTTTTTAATATTAATATATTCCCAAAATGTAATGATCTACAAACTCATGTTTATAAAAAAAATGATGTGAATTCTTATAATCTCTTAATTTCTAATCAAAACACTCATCATTGCCCTCATATTTTAAAAAATGTCATTGACAATCATTTTAGATATGTTTTCTGTATAAACATTCTGTTCAAAAATCATTTTTCATTCATAACCTCTTTGTTCTTTTGTCTCATTATATTCCTTAATGGATAATCTAGTGGGAATTTTGAGACAATCGTTGGGTTGAATTGAATGTGCATTAGTATTACATGATGTAGTAAACATTTGAAGATGCATAAATTTCGAGACATAATTGTATAATTAAAAATGCATCAGATTGGAACGATATAGAAGTTTAAATATAGAGGACCCTTGACCTTGCTTCTAATTTGTATTAACTAAATTTTTTGTAATTGTTGTAGACGACAATTCCAGTACTCATAGGGACTAAATTCAACGATTTTGTACAATTACCGATAGATGTTCAGTGGACAATTGCAAGTCAGGTAATATATTTGATCTCTTCTGATCATGCAACAACATGCATATAATCGATTCAGACACAGAATATATATGACTAAAGTAACAATCTCTAAAATCTTATCCATTTACTATTATCCTGTGTCAAAATGTGGACCAAGCTGGTGAGACTCATGGATCACTTAACTGAGAAATTTGCTGTAATTGATTTTCACCTGATAGAAGAAAAAACAGAATTAAAATCAGAAAAGAAAAAAAAAAGAAGAAGAAGAAGAAGAAGAAGAAGAAGAAGAAGAAGAAGAAGAAGAAGAAGAATAAGAAGAGGGAGAGAGAACAGGGATATTAGTGCAAGCATGATTTACTGGGTCATCCATTTTAATGATTTCTAGCTGGAAAAAATACAAATCAAATTTGATTATTCTTCTTTTGAGTATATTCATAGAAAGGGTTTGAAGGGACACAGACATCTTAGTCAATTCTTCAGAAAGAAACATCTTTTCACTCTTGGTACACACTGATTAAGTCGCAAACACAGCCTGTTCGGTATTGTTTTCAAAAAGATTTAATTTCATGTATTTAGAAACAAAAACAATGAAAAGTTTCAAAAACAATTTTCATTTTCATTTTTTGTGTAGAAACAATTTTCAAAAATTCATGAAACAGTTTATAAGGCTTTCCTAAAACTGATATGTTTCCAACAAATAATTTTCAGAAACACACATGTTCTCAATATCAATTCCCAAAAAAATGAGCAATACCAAACCTTTCCAATAATCTATTTTGAGAAGAACAGCAGTTCGTTGTTCCCAAATAAACCCTAAATCCAATATCAGAAAGTATTTAACATGTGGGTATTGTTGTTAACAGGCAAGAGCATATGCAAGAGCCCTGAATGCAACACTTTTATTTTCCAGAGCAACCTACAACATTAATGTGAACAAGATCTTCAAGTTCATCACGGCAAAGCTGTTCAACCTACCATGGGCTCCTGAGCGAAACCTCACAATAGGAGAACCCATCATCAATTTCTAGATCTTGCTTGGGATTAAACCTATTTGGTTTGTAAGTAGAGTAGGAAATTTTTGGATCCTAAGTAAGAAGATTGAAATCAACCGATTCACTGGGTTCGTATTAATTGTTTGTTCCCAATGAATATTCAGAGTTGTTTCATTTGAATATAATGAAGAGGATGATACAGGCTCAAGAGCCCACATCTCCATGTAAGAATAACTCTGTTTCATTCAACCTATTACTCAGCTCAATAAGCTTATATATATATATATATATTATGAAAATCAAGCTACTTAAGTTCGGCTCATTATCAGCTCAATCGAAACTCATTTGAGATCAGCTTGAAAGGTAAATATTCAAAGCTTGGATCCTAAGTAAGAAGATTGAAATCAACCGGTTCAGAGGGTTCGTATTAATTGTCTGTTCCCAGTGTATATTTAGAGTTGTTTCATTTGAATATAATGAAGAGGATGATACAGGCTCAGGAGCCCACATCTCCATGTAAGAATAACTCTGTTTCATTCAACCTATTACTGAGCTCAATAAGCTTATATATATTATAAAAATCAAGCTACTTGAGTTCGGCTCATTATCAGCTCAATCAAAACTCATTTGAGATTGGCTTGAAAGGTAAACAAGCCAAGCTTGAACATATTTTGGAAGCTTGATAAGTTTTTAAATCAAGTTTGAATAACCTACTACTTAGCTCGACTCAGCTCATTTACAACCCTATATGTGTTTCAGTTGAGGACATGATGCATCTTCTGAAAATAAGTGGGATTGTAAAAGACACACTGACTTGTTGGGGGAGAAAATGTAAGTAAGCTACAGGGAATTTGAATGGTCACAAGTGATGCTTATCAAAGGAAGATTTAAAAGTGTCATCAATCGACTAGTTTACTTAGAACAAGCTTTTCCACCACAATGTGAAAAATCATATTATTTTGAACTTGAAGGCCAAAATATATGCCATATTAGCATATCAGGCAACAATAACAAAACTCGAAATTCAGAGGACATAAGGGTCCAACCTAAAAGCAGATATATGGCATTTGGAGACGAGCATCACTCAAGCTTCACTTCTCTTGTTGGTGGGTCCAATTGCAAATAGTAGAATGGTTCCGTTGGTTCTTCACTGTACATCAAACATTCAATCAATTGATCAGCAGCAACAATTACTTCAGAATGTAATGGAACAATTGAAATTAGAATTAAGCAATGAGTTATCTCAAAAAGTAGAAAAGACTTCAAATTATTGTGCGATGGAAATTTTGGTCAATGAAGCAACTTCTAACAAATTATAATCTACATATCTGGTATTCTATGTGATTAACTACCAATGAAAAGCTTTCAGTGACCAATTAGAAAATTCTGAAGATTAAAGAAGACATAATCTAAGATGCTTCATGAGTATATCAAAAGAATGTACTATAGTATAAGTGAATGAAAAAAAGAAGAAGAAGAAGAAGAAGAAGAAGAAGAAGAAGAAGAAGAAAGAAAGAAAGAAAGAAAAAATTGGGATAAGTCATCCGAATGGAAGAAAACATACCCGGGTTTTGAGCGCATGCATTGCCAGAAGAGCTTGAAAGGACCAGGAATTGTCCTAAACGGGTTACCTTCAAAGCACGCCTACACAGAACACGACTGAAATAAACTCAAAATGCACTAAAATTGAGCATATACTTAATAGTGAACCTTCAACTACAAGGCCATCATAATACATGCTGACAAAGGTCAAATAGTCATAATCTGTTTCGACTTAAACATAGTGTTTCGTTTGGGATGTCTACCATCTCCTTGCACATCTAAGCATGATTGGTTATTTTTGTCTCCTTGCGATGCAGTCATATTGAATTTTCTATAAATGAACTTACTTCTGCTTTATTCCACGGTTGCCAGCAAGTGAAGCAAAAATGGAAAACGACAATGAAGGCCGAAATGTGATATGGAATCAAAATTATAAAATAGGGGCTTGATAGAAAAACTTTAAGAAAACTTTGAAAAAAACAATATGAAACATTAGAAGACTTCCACGATAAATAGACATGCGACCTCAACATAAAAAGATGAGTTTGATCCTCCATTTCTTTGCATTGGGGTTCCCTGTGTGTGTATTTGTTTAGGTAATGGCTAATATAAATGCCAAAACCAGCATAACATATTCAATCAAGAAAGTCGATTAACTCTAGCAAAATATTGTACAACACCCAGCTAAAATAATACTAATTCTGAAACTGGTAGCATGCAAGTCCAACAGTATGAAGCTAAGAAATACTACAAACTGTTACACAAGAATCTTTGTCATTGAAAAGGGTATGAACTTTTAAAGTCCCTTTCAACGTAGGTTTTACGTGTGGATTGCAGCTCTCAGGAAGATTTTGTAAATTTACAATTGCATTTGAAGACGACGTGTTCCCCTAAATTGAAGTTCAAAGCGCAAGGAGGTGACGGAGTTAGAGGACCATCTCCCTTAGTAAAGTGGCTAGGGAGGTGTGGAATTGCTCTGGGCTAGTTTCATGCAGACTGGGTGTTTTCCAGGTTGGTGGGTGGTGGCTGAGTTATTTCAAAGTTGGTGGGAAGTAGAGTAAGTAGAAGGAGAATCGAACTAAGGAATGGAGCCCTTTATGTGGAGCATTTGGGAAAAGAGACTTTCATGCTTCGGAGGAGTTGAGTCAATTGACAAGAAGGCGAAGGACAAATTTCAGAGTTTGATATGTAGTTGAGCCCACAAAGAGTTAGTCCTTCACTTGATGATTTTAAGAATTTTCAGATGATATTCTTTAAAAATAGATAAAAGATACAGTAAATAAATTCTAAAGATAAAAATAAACTAAAAATCCAACCAAATGAGGGATGGTCCTAATGAAACAACTACAGAAGCACTATAATGCCTTTTGCTCCCAAGGAGTATGCCTAGGAAGCCCCACACTTAATCATATAAGCCTTGACGCATGTTTTGTGTGAACCTCTAAAAAGATTTCTAAGACTATAACCTTTACACTATATAACTTTAGAAAACACAACCCCACCCGAAAAGGGTTCCTCAACAACTAAGATTTTTTTGAAAGACACCTTCATACAGTCCCTTTTGCCACACTTACAGGCATCACCCTCAAAGAAATTTTTAAAAGATATATCATTCGTTCTCAAACCCCAAAACCCTAGTGCACTAATTCTTTGGAGAAACACCTATTAATGATGACAGGCCACAAAAAACTTCTCCATAGCACTACTTTTTCAAGTTTCATATGGTTACAGAAGAATCCACTAGATCATCAAATAAATGAGAAATCAATCTTTTTCATAAGTACAACAGCCCTATTATCATAGTTTTCTACTACTAATTCAAAGCAGTGATCCTTTTCTGAATGTCTAGCCACATCCCAGTTGATTGGAAAAATCATACCTTAATTCCTTAAAACTGCGTTCTTCTGGTTAAGTTTGAGTAAATTACAAACATTGTAAAGCGGCATAATTCAAGAAGTTTTGAGTAGTAATCACATTTTGGGTCTTGATAAATTTGCATAATTTTGAAGGGGAAGTACAGGGGGAAGTACTCTAGGCTCATAAGCTTAAACAGATCCTTCTGCTTTCTTTCTACTTGCTTGCCTAGTAGTAGTTACTTTATTCCCTTATGGAAATTCAAGCCTTCTGTAATTGACATTTCCTTTTATACTCTTTCGATGAATCTTAGTATTAATGGTTCTTCCATCATATATAACCAAAAAAAAAATGTAAAAAAAGAGCACATTGGAATAAGGATATCATCAGACAAAATTTCCCACAACTCATAACATAACATCGTCAGGTAACAAATCATTTGAGATTCATCAATCTCTCATCAGAGAGTATAAGTAAAAATTACTTGATTTTGTATAATCTACATGCATAGGATTGATTTTTAAAAAATAGGGAAAAACTATTTTTTTTTTATTTTTTTTATTTTATCAGAATGAGTTTACTTGTCACTTAAATCAATTCAATTGTTCTAGACTTGCTAAAAATAAAAAGCTCAAATTACAACCCAACACAAAACTTTGACTCAGTACACATTGCAAAGCACAAAACAAATGAGAGCATTAAAACCCAGAACTAGTTCTTCGGATGCCCCAATTCAAACATTGAACACCAACCCACATTGCCCATACCCGTTCTCTAATCAAATAGTGTATATGAAACATATATGTTAAAAAGGAGAATTTTGTGTATGCCAATAGGCACAACGCTGCACTACCTTCCACCAATTTATATACCCAACATAAATATAATAGATTCAACTATCAAATTCAATCATAATAATAGAAGGTACACATGACATATATCATATCCGCACACAAAAATTACTTGGAAACAAGGGTGTAAGGGTTTGATGGGGAAGAGAAAGCTTACTTGGATGACATCTTCAGCTCGATCATTGCATCTGTGGGCCTTTGGCTGCCGATAATCTCCCTCGGGAGTGCCCCATGGGCTCTCTCTTCTAGGTACAGGTCTCGTACTGCTACTAGTACTACTACCACTGCTCATCTTCTCTCTCTCTCTTCTCAATCTTCTCTTCGTCTTTCTTTCTCTAAATTTGTGTTTGTGTATCTAGGTTGGGAATAGAAATGGGTGAGCTACAAAAGGGTCCTAATCTCAGCCCTTGGTTGGAACTTGGAACCGCCATTGATTGATCCATCGGCTGTACTTTTGATGGGTTAGGGTCCAATCCAAGTGGAATTTAGAAGAAAAAAAAACTATATTTATGAAAAAAATTATAATTTTCATTATTTTTTTTATTAATATTTGCAAAATTTCTCATTAATTTGTAATTCTTTTTTAATATTTTTTCTTATTTGAATCTACTTTATTTATTTATTTATTATTTTTAAAATTTTGTCACTACAGGAAATGACAGTTTTGGCGACCAAAATATTGGTCACCAAAAGTCCCATTTTTGGTCACCGAAACTAATTAGCGACTAAATTTTTTTGTCGCCAAGGTTGTCGCCTATACCCTGTCGGTGATAGTATTGGCAACTAAACTATTTTTGGTCGCCGAAAGTGAAACGTTTGGCTACTAAATTTTGGTTAGTCGGCGAAGGTTAACTTTGCTACATTAATAGAAAGTTTAAAATCAGCTTTGAAGTTATTTTAGACTAGAAACAATTGGGATATATGAACAAAACAAAAAGGGAAATAAGAATATTAATGTCCTACATGTACATATAACATTTGCTGTATAATCTACGTAGAAGGTGAAAAAAAAATGCTTAAATTATCTAGTGATATATAATAGTTCTCAAACAAAAAAGAGTAAGGAAAAAGATTTAACAAGTCAGTCCTTCCCAACAATGCACATTCTAAAATGATATAAAACTAAAAAACATAAAAGTAATTAAAACACATAAAATGCTATGAAGCAAAACTGAAGGATGTTTTCAATTCTCATTACCTTAGAAGGAATTGACAAACTGAGTTTGTAAGTTTTCTAAAAACTAGATGCAGTTAGGACATGAAACCAAACCCAAAAAAAAACAAAAAAAAACAAAAGCAGTTAGAAAAAGGCAGCTACAAACTAGAGGGGCAAAGGGCAAGGCTAATAATGAAGGAAGAGAAAAAGAGAGCCTTCGATGTATTATTAGTCAAAACCACGATTTTTTTTTTAATGAGTAATATTTATGATAGAGATTGTTGATGCAGAAAGCATGCTTTCCTACACAAGCACAGTAGGGAAAACAAAATTTTCTAATAGCATCTATTATGTGTTCACATCTGGCACTCAGTTCTTCAAAATCCATGACTTGAAGTTGCAAAATGGGACTAAAAGCATACTGTTAAGAATTCAATCCATATCCTCTTCAGCCTCAATTCTTCAATCCAAATCCTGGACTAGAGTGAAGGTACCTAAACAAATTTCTTACTGCATCAAAGAGAATTTAGAACCCAAGCCACGACCATAGGTTACCAATATTATGTGGTTGTGATATTAGGGTGTCAAAAATTAACTTTCTGCTTAATTGGGGAATTTGAAACCCCGTGAGTAATGTTGTGGCTGGCAAAATGTGGTGGAGGATCATACTTAATGTACCACTATGTTTCATAGCTATAATTGAGTGATTTAAAGCTTATATAAGCTCTTTATCCAACATTCCTAGGAGAAGATTCTGTTATTGAGTGGCTGCTGATACTAAAAAAATGTCAAATCCCATGAGAGTAGTAAGACTTCTTAACAAGTTGTGAACATCATTTGGCAACTTTGGAGATAAAAAAGGAAGCTACATTTAGAAAACTTCACTTTTACTATTTTATAGATGACTCAACGACAAATATGTTTAATGATGACTACTATAAGACTTAGTATATCTATATTAGCAGTGATTTGATTTTTTTTTAATTACAAAAAATGCCCTGGTGTGCATGAAACTAGTTTTAAAACAAGTGATTGATGAACTCTTCTCTTTACTGAACAAAAAAGTAATTTTGATGTATGTCGGTGAGTTTGTATGAGTTCCTAAAAGATCTCTCTTAAAAAAAGTGATGGTGAAATCATATATTAGTGGGTGCTACTTAGTATTATGCCTAAAATATTGGAAAATCATAAGCCTATCCATTGAGAGATGTTATCATGCTGTGGAAGAAATCAATATGGCTGAACCATTCATATGTTACAGTGGTTAATATGGCTGTAAACTGGCTAGCAAATAAAACTCAGACTAGTAAATTAGTAGAGTGATTCTGTGATCATCCTTTGGAGGTCAAAATATAGCTCAAACTCAACAAAGGAGGGAGAGATTTTCTCTTTTCATGTTACTATTAATTTGATTATACTGGAAATCAAGTACTCACACTCAACAGAAAATTAACAGACATTTTTTTTGTTTTGTCAGTTTTGACTTATGTAATTCCTATGTCGTTTATTTTGTTTGAATTTTTTAATAAGTTTTGGCTTATATTGCGATATGCATACTGCTCTTGCTGAGAAGGCCAAATCAGTGCCTCCAACAACAAAGGATGCCGATAAACTAGTCCTCTACGGACGGGTCTTTTCCCAATATAAGCCTTTTTTACATTGCATTTCCAAAACTAGGCCAACTTCTGACGGAATTCCAAAACTAAGCTAAAGCGCCATTACTATTCGCACTTTTACTGTTAGGAGCGGAAAAGTAGATGAACAGGAAAATCGCTATTAAAAATAGCGACTTTGATTAAGAAGTCGCTGTTACGAATAGCGCTTCTAGCGTTAGTTTTTCTCCCAATAAAAACGTTGTTCTTAACAGCGCTTTTTACACAAAATTTTGTTGCCAAAAAAACACTATTTCTAATAGCGATTTTAACAAAAAATTTTTGCCAGAAAAAACGCTATTTATAATAGCGATTTCAGTTCAAATTTTGTTGCCAAAAAAACGCTATTGCTAATAGCGATTTTAACAGAAATTTTTTTTTTTCGCCCAGCGTTTTTAACATAAACTTTGTTGGAATAAAACGCTATTTTCAAGATAAAACAAAAGAAAAAAACATAAAACATATTTTAAAAAATATATTTACACTGTATATTTTAGTACTTGGCTTTACTAAAGCAATTATCATGTTAAAATATGTTTTTTTTTTCTTTTGTTTTTGTTTTTGTTTTTGTTTAGAATGTGTAATTCATAAATTTTACATAATATGAAAAAAAACCTCTTTTCATATATTAATTTTACATACTATTTTTCATATATATAATTTCAAAATCATATTCATGTAGATATTATTAAGCCAATCATGTTCATTTATTTGGCTTTACTGAAGCCGTTGTCATGTTACATTTTTCATTTTTTCTTTTGTCTTTGTTTTGATTTAGAAAATGTAATTAAAAATTTTTTTTCGTCTTCACTAAAGTTGTTTTCATGTAAATATTTTTTTTGCTTATTGTTTTGTGTAATTAATAATTTTTTTTTTCGCTTTACTAAAGTCGTTTTCATGTAATTTTTTTTTTTCTTTTGTCTTTGTTTTGGGTTGGAAGGTGTTATTTAGAAAATTATTTTGGCTTTACGAAAGCCGTTTTCATTTAAACATAAATATATATTTATTCTTTTGTTTTGGGTTAGAA